AGAAGGCAAGAAGGGAGGTGTGTGTCCACATCCCAAACTCCGTTACAAGGACCACCACTCTCCATGAGATGTTAATCAGTTTATGTGAAGCCTTTTTATTCTAAAATCTATTATGAAACTAGAATCCAATAACATGCCTTTAAGGACCTTGGCATATAACCTGCGAAAGTTGAAACCAGCTCCTTCTTCTTTAATTATTAGCGTGTAGGACATGTGGGGCAGGAGGGTGCCGTGGACATTTTTGGCATTGGAAGACTGAATAGATTCCTAATCACTTTTCATATTTGTAATTATTTTGAAATCATTCATAGTGTTTTATTATATTAATGGTAGGGGATGCAACTGGTCAGTAACTCGAATTTTTTGTTGCTCCCTGCAAAATAAAGAATCCTAACTAATATGCTTTTGAAACTTGAAAACAAACTAATGGGTTACTCAGAGAGTTCTCGGAAGCCAACTGAGAAACAATCTATACATTGATGGATAGGCAGCATTTACTCTCAGCTAATTGCTGCAGTTATGACTGTTACCTGTTACATAATCATCGGTCTATTTGGTGCATTTTGTCCTAAAATTTTAACAATTTATGATATTATTCAATATTATTGTAATTACTACTAATTAAATATTAAACCCTTAATGAACTACTACTGATGATGTAACATCATGACATTATCATTTATAAAGTGTTCCTTGGTCAGATAAATTTGAGACATATTGTTGTACTGAACACAGCATTGGATTTAGGGTCTGAAAATCAAGTTTAAAATCAGTGCAACTACTCCCCAGCCATGTGACATCAAAGTCTTAGTCTCATATGAAAACAATATGTTTCCGAGAGAGATGTGAGAGCTAATAGAAGGAGCAACTGTAAAGGTGTCTACATATTTATCTGTGCAAGTGAAAAAAAACCCAGCAAAGGGATATTCAAAACTCAGACCCTTGCAGAAGCAGTTAAACAAACTTACAAATGAAGTATGACATTTGGTCTAAGAGAGTACATCTGAAACTTAGTCTATTATTAGATAGGTACTCTTAGTCATCAAAACTGAATTATAAATATTCTAAAATAGTTAATTGGATTAAATAATTTTGCAACCATATTCTAATATGGGGAAGACGACAGATTCAGTGGGGTCCAAGTGGAGGAAGAAAACTGCATACTTTGTACAGTGCCTTCCCAAGGACAGCTTTAACGTGAACAAAAGAATATTATAATGTTCCCTTATGGAATCAACAGGGGCTATCTTCCTAATCCTGACTGTATAAAAACAGATACTAAATCCATGACCTGGGAGATGCTAGTCAGGTCCACCTCCTGCTAAGGGTCACCACTGAGAGACACAACTGCACACCAATCTCGTGCTTATGGTAGAACCCACAAAGTATGGGACCTATAAAGGTGCTGAAGCAGTGGCCACAGGGGCTCCAAAGGAGCCAGGCCTTCTCAGCCAGAGGCCTTCTCAGCCAGCAGCCTAATCTACTACTTGACTTGGACATGGGGATTTTGAAACTGGGACCCTTGGGGATTTAAAAGTCAATCAAGTCACCTTCATCTATCCACTACTACAGAGGCAGCTAATGTGAAAGTCTCAAGGTAGGCATAATAGGATTATGGATCTTCAGACAAGAAGCAGCCCTGCTGTTCTTGCTACTTGACATCAGCAGCAAATAACACAGAACTCTCCCAGAAGGCTGGCTAAACAAGAAAGCGGTCACCAAGTCTCATTCGCACCTCCGTGGAGTGGGCTGTTATGGTGAGAGGAGAAAATCTCAGCTGGGAAAAGAAAGGCTTAGAATTCTGCTCTAAAATCTTGACATATTCAAAGTTGTAATTCTGAGAGCAGATCTCTATGAGGTTAGGATGAATGTTTATGTAATATAAACATGAGATCTGTATTACTCAAATTTTATGGATTTCTTTTTTAAAAATGCTGTCCTCCCTGGGTATGCTGGAACACACCTGTAGTCCCAGCGCTTTGGGGGATCACTTCAGGTCAGTTTGAGACCAGCCTGGGCAACGTAGTAAGACCCTGCCTCTACACACATATATGTAATACTGCCATTTGGGTCTACAAGTCTCAACATATTAATAATATTGCAGCTGAGATTTGAAACAGGATGAAGAACTGTCAGACCCTCAATACCATATACTAAACATCTGACATTGCGGTTCAAGGCTAAACTTCGAGCTGTGAAAGCTAGTATTAGAATCTGCATGAAGTATAGAAGGAGAGAGGTAAAGAAGGCAGAATTCCAGCTCCGTTTGAACCATGCTCAGTTTAACCACTGCCCTCCACCACTGAGCACGCCTGAAGCTCTCTCCTCTCCCCATGCTCCTCCCCCTTGGCCCCCTTCCTGCGTTACTGAACATTTCTTCTCAATGTCTTTTTTTTGTTTGTTATTCTTTTGTCCACCCCTTGTATTATTGTGTTTGGCCCCCAAGGCTTTGTTCTACCTTCTCTCCCTGGGAAAAACCTTCAACTTCCATCTAGATAATGATGAGACCTAAACCTTGTTCTCCAAATAGCCCTCTTTTCTGAGTTCCAAGGGCTTCCTGGCCATCTCTTCCTAGATAACTCACAAGGACCACCAGTTTAATCTATCTGGAAGTGCTCCCTCTTCATCACACAGGCTCGTGGAAAAAAGATCTTGACTTCCTTCTCCAGACTTACCTATCTCCCCTCTTCACATCTTCCCTGATAGCTACACTCTCTCCAGCTATCCCAGGCACCTCTCTATTCCTTGAACATGCTAAGCTTTTCATACCTGCAAGACTTTTTGCATGCTCCTCTCTTTGCTTAAAATACTTTTGCTTCTGCCTCAAGCCCAGCTCAATGGCATCTTTCCTAAGTGAAACTGGTTCTCTAACCTTCTTTCCCCAGGCCGGAGTGCAGTGGTGCAATCTTGGCTCACTGCAAACTCTGCCTCCTGGGTTCAAGCCATTCTCCTGACTCAGTCTCCTGAATAGCTGGGATTACAGGCACATGCCACCACATCTGGCTAATTTTTGTATTTTTTGGTAGAGACGGGGTTTCACCATGGTGGCCAGGCTGGTCTCGAATTCCTGACCTCAGGTGATCCATCCACCTTGGTCTCCCAAAGTGCTGGGATTGCAGGCATCAGCCACCACACTAGGCCCGCTCTCTAACATTTATTCCTCCATGGCACATGGTCCTACTGGTATGGTAATTACAACATACTGTCACGAACGTTATTTACTCAAATATCCATAACTCTAGACTGTTCTTCTCAAGAGAAGCAGTATCTGGTAGTGCAAAGGCACTGGATTGGAAGCAGAAACTGAATCAGAGATCTAAGTCATGAACTTCCTAGTTGCCCAACTGATCTAATGGCTTGTTTCTGCATCTGTAAAATGGGACTAATACAAGGGATTTGTTATAAAGGTCAAATCAGGCCATATACATGAAGCTTTGTATATACTGAAAATATAGTACAAATGTAGGGTGGTATTGTTATCAGAGTGGGTGTTTAATAAGGCTCATCGGATAAGTGAACACACGAGTTCTCACAATTCATACTGAATTTAGGGTCTGCCCAAGGGAGATGGCAGTGGTGCTATGGAGCAGTGCTTCTGCAGCCTGAGGGAGCTGCGTCCTTATGCTCTGTTGTCTTTCCCACTGGGGTTAAGTAAGGCAAGGCATCCATGGCACAGCTCACTTTTGGTACAGGACACATTTGTTTCATGGCAAATAGTTAATTATTAATAAAGGGAGGAGATGTGAAAACGATGGCCCTCGCCTCTTACTCTCAATTCTGTGAAAGGATAGAAAAGGTCATTTCTCTTAGGATTATAGGTTTACTCATTTGGTTGTGAAAGATTCCCATCTTAAACCAGCTAAAGGTACTCGGTCTACCTATGTCAACACCAGCGGGGGTCTGAACGGAAGTTCATGCAAGACCAAAAAGCAGCACCTTGCTAATTTCTTAATTTTAGCCAGATTTTTGTCTGCCATGCTAAAGGTTTGGCAGAAAAGATATTTTGACATCTAAAATGTCATTGGAAAACAAATGAGCAACACTACCACTACAAACAACGAATTATCAGCAGACCAGACAGTTTTAGGAATTCCTGGATAATAGAAAGCAGGTGACAAAAGAATGTCTGAGAAACAAGACCGGAAGCAGCCGGCTCAACCCTTGGGAAGAAAACCATCACAGGAATAACAAGGCATCACTGATAAGACAGTACTGAATCAGTCAGCCCAGAGGGCAGGAGGGTGAGGTCAGACGGGTTGATGAAAAGGCCCACCACTTGGTCAGGCCCCTCCTCTCCTACCCCTGTCACACTCAGTGGTGAATGGGGCAGAGTTACTGCCAGGCAAGACCTTGAGACCTGCTCTCTAAGACAGATGCCCCAGGAGGACTCAGGGTGAACACTGGAGCCTGGGAGAAGCAGAAGAGAGGATGTAAAAACCCCAGGCTCTTCCAGGAGACACAGGAGGAAAAGGAGGCAGTTCTCCCAAGAAGAGCAGGGAAGGGCTCTGTTCCCAGGAAATCCTTTCTATTTTGGCAACTAGTGAGAGGAAAGGGGATGGCACGAGCCTGTCTCCTCCCCAGGTATCTTTCCCAAAGCAAAGCCTGCCAGGAAACCTGCATCCTTGCAGGGCCAGCCCCCACCACTTCCAAGGGAAGCTCTGTAGGGGGTGCGACCACCATGTCTGCACAGAAGCCCACGTGGGCAGCCTGCCCTACCTCCTGGTCTTTCATTCATCAATAACCCACACAGAGAAAGAGAGGCTTCCACGGGGACTCCCTGGATTCCTCAGAGAGATCCACAGCAGCTATTCAAGACTAAAGGGAATGAAGCCTAAAAACGGTTGCGTTTCTGAATCCTAAACAACACACTCAAGCTGAAAAAAAAAAAGAGAAACACGACAAGAACAAAATCCCAACCCTGTGGTCTGAGGTGGTCACAATAATCACAGGGCAAGTGACTATCATTTGGCAGTCCACGCAGGCAGCAAAGAACTTTTCAGTCCTGTTTACAGCCCATGTTTTAATGAGGTGAGAGAAGTCAGGGCTGCCAGGTGTGAAAAGACTTACTTTTAAAAATGAGGATATTCACAGCTGGCAAAGCAACAAAAGCACTCGTGAGACGTTTGCTGTGAGCCAGGACACTGTCCCTCGGGAATCTCAACATGTCATTAGGATTGAAAGTTGAGATGAGACCCAGGGAGGAGGCCAGGTGGAGCAAAAGTCAGTCTGGTCAACCTGTGCACACCAAAGTGCATCAAACTGGAGCCCTCTCCCACCCCAGGGGGTCTCAGCGTTCCTGGCAGCAGTTACAGAAACAGCCCAGCCTTTCAGAGGCCGCCAGCTCAGAGCTGCTGTGCCATCTAGTGTCTCAGAAAAGGCTCACCTCTCTACTCTCACATCAGACAAAGGTTCTCCCCTGATCCACCCCCACCCCTCAAAGAGCACCCGATCACATCTAAAACTGAGCGCTCCCCACCACAATCCCTGAACAAAGTCACATTTTAAAAGTGGGTTTCTCTTGGCAAACAGTGGCATTAAGCACCTTTCCTGCTTTGGTCTTTACGGGGGTGATAGGGAAAAAAAAATGGAGAAGAGATCCTGCAAATCAGCCCCCAGACTGTTCAAACAGTAAATGAAAGGGTCCCAAGGACTGAAGGCAATTTGGCTTTCAAGAGTAAAGGGAACGCTGTGCCCGAGCAGGAGGAGAGAACTCCCATGCTCCTTCATAAGAGTAACCTACAAGGCTGGGGAAGTGAATTGACTCTCTGACTGCTCTGAGTGGCAGCCGGTGAATGTACCTGGTCTTTACTTGTCCTTCTCCAGATGTCACAGGGAGAGATATTAGGCATCCCTGCTTCTTTACAAATCTGCGTGGTGCCACATTGATGTGGATTTGTCGGATCCCGCTGTGGAAAGGCCTAGTTTCTGCAGGGGTTGCATTCTGGCAGCAATGTCTAGTTACAGACAAGATAATAAATGGGGATGGATAGGGAAGCAGTTTATACATTAAAGGATGGGAGGGCTCAGGTGATATTGGAAGCTGCTGGTAAATACAGTTTTATCAAGGAATTTATCAAGGTCAGAGACAGAGCTCCTCAGTTATTGGAAAGTGGATAAAATGAGTATTCATCCAGCCACCAAGCAGCACATTGGCATGGCCATGGTAAAATATGCAGGTGAAAAAGCAAATAACGCAGTCCTCTAGACCTGTTGCCCAGCAGACCTTGGTACAAGGGGAAAACACCCAGAGAAGTCAACATTATAAATACCTATACAAGCCATAGTGAAGCTTCGGGGTTTTAAAAAAATGCTCTTTTTCGTGTGTGAGATGGGGGGCTGCTTTATTTTTGATGTAACGCTTCATCACGATCCACCTGATTCTCTGACTTTTAAGTCCTTTCCCAAACTTGGACCATTTTCCAACACTGTTCAAAGATCTTAAGTCTCACTCTTCCACTTGCCTTAAAGGAAAGTTTAGTGCGGTTTTGCACTCCCTTGTCTAGCAAAACCAGCAAAGCATGTTTTATCTTTGCTTCACCTCTCAGGACCCCTGCTTCTTAAGTGTCAGAGACATCCCAGGGACCTGGTGATTGCACATTTAAAGTGTCCTACCCAGCTCTGACCGCTCAGCTTCCTGCCATGCCACCACCCCCTCACCTTATCTTTAACCCCCAAAAGGACATTTTAAGTTCATTTTCTAGTTCTAATAGCAGATCTTATGTACGCAGCGATCTTTTCCTGCTTTGTGAAGTTAGAAATGAACACAGTCCACAACTGCAATAAAGGGCAAAAGCTTCATGAATAATTGTGAGAAATGAAGTCATCCCAGTCAGGACATGGGATAAGGGTTCCGTAAATCATGGCTTCTGAGTACTAAGTGTTTTTAGGACAATGTGTTTTCATCATGTTTGGAAACTGAATGTGCCCAACATTCTTCCAGCAAAAGTGTTTACTACAAGAACACTCAAGGAGTTTAACATTCAACCTTTTAAAAGACACAAGTACCAATATTTTTCTTTAAAACACCTAAGCAGCAAGTTGAGAAGAACAAATAAATTTGGATGGAGTCAGATAGTATAACTGGTTGCCTTTGAGGATGAAAAACACATGTGAGATGGAAAATGCAAATGTTTTTTGAGAAGGTCCTATATGAATGCATTATTACTTTTTCCTTGCAAAATGTCAATTCTTAATTAATTAGGGACATAGATTATTCATATTTTGTGGTTATTTCCCTGCTTGTTCAGTAGATTCCCTACTAAGGACACACTTGAAGCAACCTAGTTGAGAGAAAAAAATATTATCCATGAAAGAAAAAAAGAAGAAATAAAATTGAACTTGGAGTAAGATTTGGATCAGTTCCTGGTTCAGCCATATATATGGTTGTGTGATGTTAAGAAAGGCATTTGGCATTGACTAAGCTCAATTTCTTTGTCAGGACACAGTGGATTATCATCAGCCATGCTTAGTTCACAGAGCTTTTTAGTGGCTCAAAGAGGGGACGGATGTGAGATCGCTATATAAACTATATAGTGGTATTCAAATACTAGTGATTAAGTTTGGTTTGTGGTTCTGGCTAGAGGGTTGCTGTGGAGTAAGTTGACTCTTCCCAGGGCTGTGGGTTTCCAGTAGTTTTTACATGATCTTTGGACTAAATTTTCCAGCAATTTTTCAAGGAAGCTGTGAAGAGAGGCAGATTAATTATAAGTTGGTTACCAGATTTGGCAAACAAAAATATTGCATGAAATATACTTATATCAGAACATTATTATTCATCTGAAATTCCAGTTTAACTGGGCATCCTGTATTTAACCTGGCAACCCTAATCATATGGCAATTAAAACTATAAAGCACTTCATTTCTGTGCTATCAGTTTGACAATGGATTTTAAAACTTTAGACACATATGGCCCGTTGGATTCTGCTCCTGGCAATACATAGTAAAACTCAGAATATAAGATAAAAATAAAAGAATTATAGGTTCCAAAGGCATATAACTCTCCCAGGAAAAAATAATCTTCATCATCATCTTAACCCATTATGGATTAGTAGCATGCCTGGGAACCTCCCGTGCTAGAGGACGTTTTCCACAGTAGATGGTGCACTCCATTCTGGTCTATATGGTAAAAATTTAATGAAATTAGATTAGTTTGTAATAATTACTTTATCTTTTTGAGACAGTCTCTCTCTGTTGCCCAGGCTGGAGTGCAGTGACAAGATCATGGCTCACTGAAGCCTCCACTTCCCAGGCTCAGGTGATTCTCCCACCTCAGCCTCCCGAGAGCTGGGATTACAGGCATGCACCATTACACCTGGCTAATTTTTGTATTCTTTGTAGAGATGAGGTTTCACCATGTTGTCCAGGCTGGTCTCAAACTCCTGGCTTCAAGTGATCTGGATGCCTCGGCCTCCCGAAGTGTTAGTATTATAGGTGTGAGCCACTGTACCTGGCCTTGTAAGAATGATTTTAAATTGGATTTCCATGACACCTTTCCTTACCAATGTTCAAAGCTTAAGCCCATGAGTCCATTGTGAGGCCCCTTTGAACTGTGGCAGGTGGTAGGGCACAGGCTCAAGAGTCAAGCATAACCATAGGCAAGTGACTCAGCCTAAGCCTCTGTTTCCTAGTCCATAAAATGGGAGTAATATTAAGCAGCTACCTCAGAGTTTTGTTAAAGGAATTCAATTAACTGTTTTGCACAGTGTCTAGCACATATATGCTCAATAAATGGTGGCTATACTTAAATTCAGTTGGCACTTATGTTTTCATTTCCAATCTATTGTGAAGTAAGGAGAGGGCAAGGAGGTATTATTGAATTCCTTTTATGCCTTAAGAGATTTGTAACCTGAAGATGTTAGATGATGTAATGGTAAGCTGGCAAGAATAGAACCCAGGGCTGTTGCGCCCAGTAGTATTTTCACTTTGTTTAGAAGACTCTTGGTCAAACACATGTATCTCAAAGGCTGTCACTTCAAACTATAACAAATATCATCTCCTAAAACTCAGTATCCGGCTTTCTGTCTTTAGCTGGCCCCTCCAATCTACTCTCTGGCGACAGCAGAGAAACCAACGTACTGTGAATCTGATCATACCACACCTCCCTCTAAAACTCTTCAGTGGTGCCCCAAATGGCTATAAAATAATATCCAAGGTATACAGAGGGCATGGCAGATGCCCTCACTGACCTCAGCCTAACTCTCCAGCCAGTCACTCCCTCAGTGTGAAACAGTTCACAGTTCCCTGCGGAACTTCCCCAGCATCTTTCTGCCCCACCTGTGCCCCTGTCCGGCTAGGAGCCCTTTCTTTGTTCTGGGAAGAAGAGTATGAAAACATTATTTTTTTGCTGGTTTTAAGAAGAAAGGTGCTGGGTCCAGTGGTTCATGCCTATAATCCCAGCACTTTGGGAGGCTGAGGGGGGAGGATTGCTTGAGCTCAGGAATTGAATACCAGCCTAGGCAACATAGTGAGACCTTGTCTCTACAAAAAACTAAGAAATTAGCCAAGCATGGTGGTGCACGCCTGTAGTCCCAGCTACTTGGGAGGCCAAGCGGGGAAGGACCATTTGAGCTCAGGAGGTGGAAATTGAAGTGAACTGAGATCACACCATTGCACTCCAGCCTGGATGACAGAGTGAGACCTTGTCTCAGAAAAAAAAAAAAAAAAAGAAAGAGAGAAAGAAAGAAAGAAAGAGAGAGAGAGAGAGAAAGAAAGAAAGAAAAGAAAAATAGAAAGGGCTTAAGAAACAACCTAAATATCCAATGATCACAAACTGAATGCATTAAAGAACTTTCAGAGAATAAACTACTCTGCATCTATTTAAAAGTTCAATCCTTAAAGAATAGTTAACTCAGGCCGGGCGTGGTGGCTCAAGCCTGTAATCCTAGCACTTTGGGAGGCCGAGGCGGGTGGATCACGAGGTCAAGAGATCGAGACCATCCTGGACAACATGGTGAAACCCCGTATCTACTAAAAATACAAAAAATTAGCTGGGCATGGTGGTGCGTGCCTGT